GTTCACTATAAAGTCAGAGAGGATATGTTTTAATTTTTTTATGGAGAGATCCACGTTGGTACTCTCAAGAGAAAGCTTAAATTCACAGTAAATGCTGACATTAGTGTTAAAATGACAAAAATCTCTTTTGCTCAAGACAATAAATCACTTCCCTCATCATCATCAGACCCTCCCATTTCACTCCTTCTCTATTTGGTCTCCTCTTAAAGAACTCGGTGGTGCCATAGTGCATACAGGGCAACACAGCGGGCAGATGTGGCGCTGTTGGAGCTGTTTCAACATTTTTCAACAGTTATTGCATCCTTGAAACAACGCTGCCTGGCCTGTTTGTCCAAAAGCAAAAAGATTGATCTGTTCTGCCAGTTTGCTCCCGGGAAGTGTCACAGCATGTTCTTTCTGTAGACCTACTTTATAAAAATGTTTTCAAGCCTATCTAACAGAGCAGACACAATCACTGTGATGACAACAGAAAGCCTTAGTAGCATTTTAATGACATGATTTGCATCAATGTGTCCTCTAGAAATTCCTTTTAAAACAAAGTAGTGACATTAAAGGACTATATTTAGACTAAAGATAAAGAATATGGTGGCTGATATATATCAGCTAACAACAGCAGGAACAAACTGTGAAACGTGTCTTAATCAGCCAGAAAATCTTGGCAGTGTCTTGACTTTGCACTGGTCATTGCACTAAATTATGCTGTAATTACTGAGGTAAAAAATGGTCGCTGACACCCCAGACACCCACTGGTGCTCCAGAAGGAGCTGAGGAGGGAGTGCATTTGTCATGATAGATGAACTGGATTTCTCCCGGTGCGTTCTAAGGAGATGACATTCCCAGACAGAAATGGCCTCAGATCCCTGCTTCCTTCTACTGCATGATCCGACTTTCACTGGGAGGAGTCTGCAGGCTTCATTTACTGAAGCAGCAGGGAATAATATAGTGCCAGCGTTTGGATGTGTCAGGTCTCATATCTCTGGCTGTTCTATTAGAAATAGACCTCAGTGCAGTACAATTAACCCTTGGCCTCAGCAGCAGATCTATGCAGTAATAGCCCAGCACAGGGCAATAAATCAAAGCAAGAGGGAGAAAAGCACGCTCCCTCCCCTGCTGGTTGGCTGCTACTTTCACCCAATAGACCAAGCTTACATGATGGTAGATGTGCTCTGCTGTTATTGTATAATCGCTGAAGGTATACAGTAGCAGGTTAGCTGTATACGAGGGCACCGTGAGTGTGTATTTGTGCTGTAGCGAATACACCATCTACACAAAGTTCAACAACTTGGACCAACTGTAACCTTTTAATCAAAGGAGCAAGAACTAGTATTAAAGTGTGGAAGTACTATAGTGTGAACATTATTACTGTTCTTGAATGCTAACTGTCTGTAGCATCCAGCAAAGAAAATTTGGCTCTTGGTCTTGGCTAGTTTTTATTTCAGTGGTAGTGTTGACAGTCTGCTGCTCTACTTCACAGTAATGACTGTGGTGATCCACTGACTTTTCTCTTGTGAACCAGTTGGTTCACATGTTTGGTTTTTGGTCAACATGTTTGGTCTCAACAACTATTAGACTGCTTGTAATAAGTGTTTGGTATAGACGGTCATGTCCACCTCTGGATACAGTGTGGTAGCTTTTCATCTAATGTCATCTCTATGACAAAAGTTTTATTTGTCCAGTACTTTGGTTTATGAGCAAATATATGTAAAGCTAATGATGTTTCCTCATATTGACTTTGTGTATGGTGCTCATTAGAAGTGGAGGAAGAAGCACTCAGAGCCCTCAGCTTTGTAAAAGTAGCAAATACTTTGTTACAAGTAAAGGTCCTGCTTTCAAAATGTTACTTACGTAAAAGTACAAAAGTATCCCCATCAAACAATACTTAAAATACTAAAAGTACTCATTATGCAGAATGGTACATTTAACATTAAAGTATATAATATCATTGCATTATTGTGTATTTAATGTTGCAGCTGGTAAAGGGGGAGCTAATTTTAACTTACTTATGCTTTAAAGTTGAATTACTGCTGGGTAGCTTGTGAATTTCCCACCCATCATACTGTATTTTTTGTATGAATCTGATTCTGAAAACTAACTAGTAACAGTATATAATATCATTGCATTATTGTGTATTTAATGTTGCAGCTGGTAAAGGGGGAGCTAATTTTAACTTACTTATGCTTTAAAGTTGAATTACTGCTGGGTAGCTTGTGAATTTCCCACCCATCATACTGTATTTTTTGTATGAATCTGATTCTGAAAACTAACTAGTAACTAAAATTACAACATGCAGTGGAGTAAAAAGTACAATATTTGCCTCTAAAATGTAGTCAAGTTGAAGTATGAAGTAGCAGAAAATGAAAATATTCAAAGTACAGATACCTCAAAATTGTACTTGAGTAAATGTTACTTTCCACCACTGTTGATTAGCAAATGTTAGCATGCTGATATATCAGACGATGGTGACCATAGTAAGCATTAGTTGTTTGTTGGTGTTAGCATGTAGCTCTGTATCTCTCTGTCTGTACTGTTAGTGTACATGGTCTTATACTTGCAGCACACTCTAAGTGCTTTCACATTATTTGGCCATTCACCCATTCATTCTCCCAAGCACTCAAGACATTCACACTAACTGGGAGTTCAGTGTCTTGCTCAAGGACACTTCGACATGTTGACTGGACAAGCCAGGAATCAAACCACTAATCTGAAAAAGAGACATAAGAGATAGTGAGCTACTTGGAGCAGAGACCCCCAGCTGGATGTGAACCAAGAATGTTGCAGTTCCCGGCCAGCGTTGTAATCCTTAGGTCTCTGTGGCGCCTCTTTGTCTTTTTTAAACCAGATGTTTTATGTAAGTAAGGATACTGAAAGCTTTGGCAATTTTTTCTGTAACTATTATATTTACAGAAAATGTAGGTACCTGATTTAAGAGAATATTTGACATGAAAAGTTTTTTAAAACATGTGCCTCAGACTAAAGTGTTGTTTTCTCAAAAAAGAAATTCTATGCTCAGCCCTGTGAAAGACTTTCTTGTCCTCCATTTCATTTAGCGTGTAACGTACCAAATGGGTCCAACAATCGCAATAACCTGTTAATGACGCCGTCGCTATGTTGTACATTGATAGTAAAAATGAGAATTACGATTCCTCAGTGAGACCGGCTGACTTTTTGTCTGCAGCCTGTCATATTGAGACCATTTGTTTAATGGCAGATTAGAGAAAAGAATGAGCAGCAATAAAGCTGTAGACCACAGGGGTCACCTTCAGGACCTGCTCATGGTTATTTCTATCATTAGCATGTTGTGTCTCATGCTGTCCTGCTGCAGTTATTACTGACACAGGCTTTGGTCTTATGACTGGTCTGTTCAAACTGCCCACTGTTAGACTGTAATTCTCACACTGATGGACTAATGTGAAATATGGCAACAGATGCAGAGAGCAACGACTGAAGCACATTATTCAGGACCCAAGGGCCATTAAAGCCATAGCTATTAAATATAATTTGAAAAAATTAGCTTTTTGGCACATGGAATAGCAGTTGTGAGGTATTATGATAATCACTGCATTCCCAAGGGTGCCTGCTTTCCCCAAATGTTATTACTATTTGTATATGCCTTTGTGAATGGGCTTTGGGATATGTAGTCATATTTGTGAATGTTTTAGGGGAGGGTTAATTCTCCTCAGATGCAGAGGCAATTATTGCTTTTGCCATGGTTTGTGTAATTATAGCTTACTGCTTGATTTGCTGTTGGTTTGAGAGGATCTGTATACATGTGAACACTTTTCATTTACTACAGTTTGGATACATAAACCCCCATGCATGACACAGGACAATCAACTGGCATTCAGTCAACGTTTGACCATTCTAACCAGGCTGATGGGCACAGTGCAGTTATTGCTGATTATTTCTGCACTGTTAAAAGTCAGACCATTTTATATATGTGCTCATAATGTTGAGTTTGCAATGTTGTGTTAATAATTCTGGTGATTTAAGAGAATGAAGAGTTCTGTCCACATTATTTTGTGTCCATTGTAAATTATCTGTCAGGATTGTGTAAAGGACCTAAATGCAGCCTCAGGAAACAGGAACTAATGCCTAGCAAAATAAGGATGTTTTCACATTAGGCACGATTGTTTCGTACCGTGCTTGAGCATGATTGCTCTCCCCCCGCAGGTCTGAGTCCAATAGGGAGTTGAGCAGGGACACAGACAAATGGGCACAGGTGAGGACAGAGCAGATGGTGATGGCATATGAACCAGCAAGGTGAAAATAAAGGGATGAACCAGGGAGATAGCGAGCAACAAGTGAAAGAAGTTGAGGACAATCAGAGGCAGGGTCAAGCTGAGGCTGGCAAGGGTGGCATAAGACAGGAAATGGCTTCAGAATAAAAGTCCAAAACAGAAAATGGCCTGGGAATAAATTTCAGAGTGGAACATCAGTCTGACAGATCACAAGTTGCCATCAATGTCCACTCTGGGATAAATCTATTAATCCATAGCACTACATTGCTACCATAACACTTTGTACAGCTGCAGACCTGTGGCTGTGAGCAGCAGTGCAAAGCCTGGTTTACCCAGTTGTGTTGAGAAGGTCACACCATTTGCAAACACAGGTCATACTTTGGTCTTAAAGAGTACAGAGGTGGGCAGCGTGGTTGTTGTGCATAATTGATTATAGCTTGTGGCTAAGACTGGTTTGTGTGCTTTAAATGTGGGAAGATGACATCTTGTTTCATTCAGTCATTTCATTTTCATTTTTCTTCCAGTTTCCATAAGAGGAAGAAGTTTGGTGAAATAAAAAATGAAGAACCTGTGAGTCTTAGAACTCACCACAACACTATGGCTCTGTTGTATTTAAGAAGTGTTGACTGTAGAGCTGAAACGATGAGTCGATTGACAAAAGAATTTTCACAACCTATTAATCATTAACATTAAATTATTAGTAAGCAAAAATGTTTCAGCTCAGTGATAGCCATTGTTTTAAACTCCTCTCCCTCTTTCCAGCTGCTGGCTGCACGTTTGAGGAGGATTCAGACCCCAGTCTGTGTGACTTCACCCAGGGAGAAGAGGATGACTTTGACTGGCTGCTGTTTCGGACGTACAGTTCACCTTACGCCAGCTCTGACCTCCTGCGGGGTGAGTTTTCCTCTCTCCGACAGTTGTACTTGTACTTCACTACTTTTTCAGGCTGCAGCCATTTTGCTTTGTTCAGTGTCTCTAGACTGCAGATTGTTGATTAGACAGAGGTGACCACTAAAAACCTTACTGAAACACGTGGCAAGGCTAAAAGCTTTATTTTGAGGCATCTCAGCAGTTGGTGTGTGGTTGTTTTTTCAGTTTATGGGGCAATAAATTAACTTTTGTTTGAATGACTGTAGCTGAAATGTGCAACTATGCACAAATCTGCCTTTATAGATGTCCAGCCCCCACCATGCATCAGCTTCACCCCAGTTTTGTCTGCTTCTCGCTAAGCCCATGGATAACTTCATGTTAACAAGCCTCACAGGACAAATGGAAACCAGCATTTTCCTGCCATCATGCTATTGGTGGTTGCCAGAGGGAGATGGCATGCATAGTTTATAAGGCACTCCTCCATCTCTGCATTAACAAATACCTACAGGGATCTGACAAAGAGAAGAGTGCTGTTTCATTTTCTCAGCAGAAATATCAGTGGCAGCAGTGAGCTCTCTGCTGAAGTATTTGTTACATAGAAACTTGCAATGTGGTGAACAACATGGCCTCCTACAGGTACAACCAATCGGGTAATCTATGATATGGTGATGAGAATTTGACCCATATCTGACAAAAACATGACTTTAGTTGATCACTGTACCCAAGATGGAGAGAAAGAAGCTGTTCAACAGCAGCGGCAAGTTTAAAAGCTTCACTGAAAGAACTGCAGAAGATGTGGCAGATATAAAGATAAATGAATTAAGAGGATCAGGTGTAAAGATGACAAGATAGGAGGCAAGCAGGTACTGTACTGTAAATAATTTAAAAAGAAATAACTGCAGCCCTCAGGGAATACTCCCTCCTTTTGGAGCTATCGACCCGAGTAGGCTTTTAAACAGTCAAAAATGTCCTGCAGGGATAAATACAGCTATTTGTAAAAGCTTCTGATTTTGATTTACAGCACACAAGTTCCTACTTGTCCGCAGGCGCCTATCCAAATAGAATTCTGAACTTGATAAATCCCAAATTTATTCCTAAACACCTCATTCACTCCCACATCATCAGCATTCGAGGGGCAGTCTGCCTGTAGCCACCAGCCAATTCACGGCAGGCGATGGGATAATTAATACTTTTCCCTTTGGGTTTAATTAAAACTTACAGCCTTGGCATTTACAGGAATCCGGGGCCTTCAGTGGAACGTTTTAGCACAGGTGGAACGAGGCAGGTACTGCAATCTGGACATGACGAGACAGCACGAGAAGTGCTGAGCATCAACTTTCAATCGATCAGTTCTGAGACAAATTCAGTTTATTAGCCACTCATCCCTCAGCTTCACACCAGCAGCAGTGTATTACTTATGTTCTTCATCTATTTGGTGTCACAGTATAGTGACAGGAGTATTCGTCCGTTAGGTACACCTTGACATTTTCACTATGTCATTTAGAGTGAATAACCTCACTGCAGAGACTGGCTCAGGAAATATGTTTCTGTTTTTTGCCTTCTCTCTGGTTTAATCCCCCTATACTGACTTCTAACATGGCTGGTATGTATCACAGCCAAGGTGGGGGGATAACAAGAGTTGATGAGATAAGGCTATTTACATTGGACCAGTGGGGCTGAGAAATTGGTGTCAAGGGAAGATTAGTAAACACAGCTGAGATAGCAGCAGTTTGTGGCTCCCAGGAGAAATTAGAGACTCATGTTCCCATGAAGGAGAAAATAGTATTGGGAAAAAATACAATGGGATGGGATGAGATCTTAATAGGAATGGCCCATTTTTATCATATTCTCCTTTATTTCGAATTAGATCAAAGATGTCTGGTGGCTGTTTTAATGAACAAGCAGGCTTGCAGGATGATGACCTTGTAAAGAGAATGTGTCCAGGTGTCATTTTCTAAAAGGCAGATTCATTAGCTTGAAAAGTTACAGTTCTACTGCATCCATTATAGTGTATCAGGGTTGCCTTAAAAGAAAAATCTATAGATATGCTTAAAAACACAGCTGATGGCAATGTATTGTGCTTTCTTTGTTCACCTTGTTTTTCTATTTTGATTGGACACCACATCAAACATGAGGGAGACATGGTGTCCAGATATCTACAGTTTAACTACAATGAAGTAAATTAGTAGATAATATCAGGTTCTTAGCAGCTCAACAGAAGCAGAAAGCATCTTTTAAGACTCAGTATTTATTATCAACAGTCAAACATTGACAAATACATGAAAGAAGAGGCAGCGATAACAATAGGGACTGCAGTTTCAGTAGTGCAGCCACAGCTTGATGTATATGTGCTATGCATCTGATGCTGATAGCTTACAGAATACCACGCACCCTTCAATGGAGTGCTGTCATTTTGACTGCAGGACACACACCAACAGGCAGTGTTCAGTGTTTTTTCATTTTTTTTTAAATTGACATTCTGATATTTTACAAAGTATATCCATAATGAAACATACACAAAAACACATAGTCATGCGGTCGTCCATAAATCCAGGAATGTTTGTTAGGCCGGAGAAAGTCCAGCCCAGCGATCTGCTAAATCTGTTCAAATTGTTTTGTAGGGTATGGGTCTCTTTCTCCAAAGGCTGCATTTTAACACGTGTTGAGGAAACATCTTTGGAAGTCCAGAATTTAAGGAGGGTTAAGGATAAAGTATAACTGTTGACAAAAAGAAATGACTTTATGCTAATACAGCAGACAAAACAAAACTCCCTTAATTGCCAAAAGTCAGATTAACGCCCTCCTGCTTTGACCAAATACTTCCAAGAAGCCAGGAACTAAATGTGTGTTTCCACTGTTTCTGGAGAGTTTTCAGTGCTCACATATAGCACAAGGACATAGCAACACATATACTTCAAATAATAAAATGCATGGATGCAGAGGACACAGGTCGGGGTGGAAAAACTACATAGTGCATGTTAGCAAGGTAATAACACGCTTCTGAAGGAACAAATGGTTCTTCCCAGGCAAAGAAAGCAAACTGAATTTAGACTAACTTAAGTGGCTATACTGAAAAGGTAAATTAGTTCAGATCTTTCCAAAACTCCTTGAATCTAAGTCTGGAAGTAGCTCTGAGCACACAAGTCTCACTCAGTTGTCTACTTCAGCAGCCATACTAACAGTGCCTCTTTTATGTGAAATGGGGACTTACTCTATAAAGAGACATGACTCTCAGGGGTAGCCCTTCTCCTGCTTTTTATACTCCTCACCATGCATTGCATGCTAATCTTGTAAATACCCCTCTCTCTCCTTTTTTTGGGCAAATGTCTGTTATGCTGTCCATTGGCACACATACACTGGAGATAACTTTTAAAATAGGTCTGCAGCAGACTAGAATCCGGGCCCATTTGCATTTTTACATTACTGTACTGCAAACAACAGAGTCAATTGCTTGGTTGTTTTATTAGATACTAGCAGAATAGATCAAATGCCCTCACAGAGATTTTGAATGGTCTCTAATGTTGAATGGGACCTCAAGTTTAAGGATGGTTAAGATTTACATGAACCATGACCTTATTTCCCAGGGTCAGAGCCTGGTCAGTTGAAATATACTATAGCAGCAGGCCCAATGTAATGACCATAACAGAGCTAATTCATGCAATAAAACACACAGGCAGTCCTCCATCTGCATCCAGCATCTTCTACCAGTCGGCTATGGAGGACATTGTCATATCTTGTGGGCTTTAGTATCTGTCACCTCTCACCCCTGCCTGGCCTCAGCTACACCCTGCAGTCCAGCTAGACATTAGTGTGTGTGTGTGTGTGTGTGTGCTTGTGTCACCGACAATGACCTGAGGTTTGTCTGGACCTGTGAAAGGATGAGGTAGAGCAAGAAGATGGATACATCTGCTGTAGGAGAGGTGTTATCAGAGCTGACCAGCCATCCACACTGGTTTAATACTCTGTTATACTGTCCTCCTTCACCTTTCCCTTCTGACAATCTGCACTCATCATATACAGTATATACATCCTATCCTATAAAGGTCTTTATTAACATGCTTTTTATATTTAGAGGAAAATGGTTGCTATAGATACACTGCAGATTTTTATTTTTGATGCTATTTAAGTCAATTTGTGTTTTATTAAACAACATAAATGCATAGATCTCCTATGATAGTAGCAGTATATTGTGCTATACATATCTGCCTCTTCTCATTTCTTTATATTTAGACGCTCTGCAAATGGTTAGAGAAAAATATCTAATTTCCATTTTCTGACCAACTATGGAATTGTCATTTAAATTGTATTTATTTAGTATAAATTAAACATGGATGCATTAATGATTTATTTTTCAATAATGACTGTACTACACATGATCACAATTGTATATTTGGGCTGCATAAATATATTCAGATTTTTGTCATCATCATCATTATTTGCATTGCAGATATGTTTTTATTAATAGCGGTGCTGCTTGTTGTTATGCCAGTCTGTAAGAGAAAAATCAACTTCTGCATAAACCTGCCTAGTTTAACAATGACACATATTTCAAGATATACAATAGTTTTAATAGTGTATAGTGGACATTAATATTTAGACAATAATACTTAAATATAATTTTATAATGGCACTTCAAATGTTTATGTAGACAAACAATCTTTAACCAACACAAAGTGTTTTATTCAGACAAAAGATGAGATTTCATGTATGTTTCGGAAACTCGCAGAATTAATTTTAAATAGTTTCAGCTGAGGGAAATTACTGGCAACACTTATAACTGGTGAAATCAGCAATCAGTTTTTTTGTGTTTAAAGTGCCCATGGCATGCTCATTTTGCTCGATTCCTGCGTTCTAATATTTAATCTTGGGCGCCTCTAAATTAGCTTTGCACCTATCACGACTCCAAATAGTCTGTAATTATTTCAGAATGATAAAACCTGAGCGCCTCTTCCTGAAAATGAGAGGATAGTTCGTGAACACGCCGGTGTTGTGTCAAAATCTGTTTCCCCATCGAGATGTGTGTC